GAACTATCACCCAGCAGATATATGCACAGCCATGTTTGTTGTTCACAATAGCAAAGAGATGGAAACAACACAAGTTCTCATCAACAAACAAATGGACAGAGAAACTCTGGTATATTCACACAATGGAATATGATGCAGCATTGAAAAACAAGGAACTCATGAAATATTATACAAAATGGGTGACCCTGGAGGACAATATGCTGAGTGAAATACCTTGGTCACAAAAGGACACACACCGCATAATGCCACTCTTATAAAACAGGGCTCACTTGGGGGTGGGGGGAAAACAAACTAAGAACAGAGGAGATAAATAATGTACAGGGCATTGAAACAGATGAGGCAGAGAACTGCTTAAATGGAGTATATGATTAGGTATTATTTGCATGACAATAGTCCAGAAAAACAGCTGCATAGTAAAGTGGAGGGGGAGGGTATTGTATATCAGTGAAAGATTTTTTTTTCCCAAAGAGAAAAGTGAACTAGAGAGGAGAAGGGTGGGCAGGGAGGAAAATACGCAACAATGAATAAATCTGTCTTCTCTATAAACTTAATAAACTCAATTAAAAAAAATAGAATCTGATCTACTTCCAACAAAAAAGGCCTTTTTTTTAAAAAAAAAAAAGGGCTTAATAACGTAAAAGTAGAATTGAAATGCTCGAGAATATACAGGTATGTGTTGCTTACTGTCCACAATTAAAAGCAATCACATTTATTGTTAATCTAGTAAGAACCTACTCATAGCTGATCCTCGAGTGGATTTTCCAAGGCTATAGAACTACCAGATGTGCAGGCTGGATTTAGAAGAGGTCGTGGTACTAGGGATATTATAGCTAATGTTAGATGGATCTTGGCAGAAAGCAAAGAATACCAGAAGAATGTCTATCTGTGCTTCATTGACTATGTAAAGGCTTTTGACAGTGTGGATCACAACAAGCTATGGCTGACTCGGAGAAGAATGGGAATCCCAGAACATTTGGTTGTGCTTATGTATAAAACCTATTCTTGGACCAAGAGGAAGTCATCAGAACAGAGCAAGGAGCCACTACATGGTTCAAAATCAAGAAGGGGGTCTGTCAGGGATGCATTTTGTCTCCATACCTTTTCAATCTGTATGCAGAACAGATTATCTGAGACGCTGGGCTATATGAGGAGGAATGTGGCATCAGGATTGGTAGAAGAATCGTCAACAACCTGCGTTATGCAGATGGCACAACCCTGCTTGCTGAAACTGAGGAGGACCTAAAGTGCTTGCTGCAGAAAGTCAAGGACTGCAGCCTTCAATATGAATCGAAGCTCAACATCAAGAAAACAAAGATTCTCACCACTGTGCTATTGACAGCATCAGTATGGATGGTGAAGAGATTGAGATAGTTAACAGTTTTAGTTTACTTGGTTCCACAGTCAACACTCTTGGTAACAACAACCAGGAAATCAAGATACGAATCACACTGGGAAAGTCCGCTGTGAGGGACCTCTCAAGAGTACTGAAGATCAATGACGTCAGGCTGGAGACTAAGGTTCGCCTGATCCGGGCTATAGTCTTCGCAATTACATGCTATGAATCAGAGAGCTGGACAGTGAATAGGGATGATAGAGAATTGATGCCTTTGAGCTGTGGTGCTGGAGAAGAGTGTTGAATATACCATGGACTGCTAGGAGAACAAACAGGTGTGTCCTGCAGAGGGTGAAGCCGGGCTGCTCCTTGGAGGCAAGGATTCCGAAGCTTCGTCCAACATACTTTGGGCATGTTGCAAGGAGGAACTGGTCCTTGGAGAGGGACGGCACAGGAGAGGAAGACCCTTGATGAGATGGATCGATTCTGTGATGAGGTGGTGAAATGAGTGTCGGAAATGGCAAGGTTGGCACAGGACAGAGCAGCGTTTAGGGCTCTTGTACATAGGGTCGCTGTGAGTCGCAGGTGACTCAATGGCACATAACAACATAGCAAGTGAGGAGATTGGCAGTCTTTCTCCCTCGGTGCTGCTGGTAGATTTGATCTACCAGAGAGACACCGCCACTGGGTGAGCAACGCAGTTCTCTATAGAGTCGGCCATCAGTACATTCTGGGAAATAGAATGTTACATGATGTGGATGCTGTGCAAGCACCTGTGTCCTCTGGACATTGGCCAGGGACTGTTTTCAGGCTTCAGGTGAACACTGCGCTGGGTCCCTCCCAGCTGTCATTGCCTTCTGCTGTGCTAACTGTAGGGGAGGCCAGCTTGCTTATGAGAACCTGTGGAGGGAGAAGGACATGGTGGGCCAGCAGCATCCGAATCTGGACTGAGCCATCCGAGGCAAGTACCTTTCCTTTGGTGGCCTAAGGACCACACCAGGAGAATCCACCAAGTCTGAAGAGCTAAGTTTGAAACTCAGCTTCTATCATTGCCAATTATGGAGCTGGCTTTCAGCTCCTTTTGACAACTAAGTAGAAGTTGGACTCTACACTCGAGATAAAAGTCTGGTGTCATGGCATTCAGGTACTTGAGGGGCCTGGTACATGTATTCAGTTGGATGTTAAGAGACACATACCTGTATTATGGACATGGCTTCACAATCACATGACTTCTTAAGAAACAGAGATTTCAGGCTTGTTATCTGCCATTTAAGGGGCTCTGGTGTATTATGCTTTTACCAAAATGTTGACTGTCTCACATGGTTTTAATCCTTCAGTGAATCTGCAGGTGAAAGTCTCCTCCCTTTAACTTTGCAGCCTCGGAAACCTGCCGGAAGGTTGCTTTCGGTTAGAATGGGTTCAGTGGCAGTGGGTACGAGATTGGCATTTCTGCCACATGAGATTTGGAATACCCTAGAGATAGCATTCGCCTGCTGGTGCTGCTGCTCCAAGAGGTTGAGAAGCGGTGCTTCATGTTTTTAGGTTTTTATGAATCCTATCAAACCTGTTGAACAGAATAAGTTGCAATTCGATCTCTCTTAAAGTCTAAATCCATTCTGGACTGTGTTCTTCGTTTAAGGTGTTTTTTTAAATTTCTTGAGTTTTATGTTTGTTTTAACATCATAATCAAGAGAGGTCTGGTAGTGCAGTCTTGAAGGCATTATGTTGCTAACCTCAAAGTGGTGCCTCTCTGGGTGGTTCAAATTTACTAATGTCTCTGCAGGAGAAAAATGAAGAGTCTCCTCTGTGTGATTTACAGCCTTCAAAAACCTGCAGAGGGATCAGCTATGAGTAGGTTCATACCCCGCAAAAATGAGTTTGGAGAAGTGAGTATTCATAGTGAAGGGAGTACCAAAATGTTTGGAAAGTTAGACTGAGAGAAAGAAATCTTTGCAACCAGGACTCAATGATTGTGTTTGTCCTGCTCATGCAGCTGCCATTTCACTGGAGCTAGGGGCTCCTTTCAAGTTCATGAATACTAAAGGTGCTCCTTGGAGGCAAGGTTTTGAGACTCTGTCTTATATACTTCGGACATGTTGCCAGGAGGGACCAGTCCTTGAAAAAGGACATCATGCTTGGAAGGGTGGAAGAATAGAACAAGAGAGAAAGACAGAGATGAGATGCATTGACACACTAACTGGGATAATGGTGATAGGTGAGTCAGAGATTAGCTCAGGGTAGAGCAGGATTCGAAGCTGTTGTGCATACAGCTGCTTTGACAGCACATAATAGCAAAGCAGTGAAGTGTTTCTCTGAGAAAAGTTGTTTTGTGGTGGCCTGTCTTTTCATTCTATACTTCCTCCCCTTACTTGTCTAGTCTTCTAGACTCCACTACAAGAGAGCTCTACAGTGATGATGTTAGTCATGCTGGGACCAAAAAAAAAAAAAACAATGAAGATGACTGAAGTGTTTTGAATCTCAGAGTGAAAGTATCATGTATACAAAATGAAAGAAAGCTCAAGAATTTCTGTGTGCTTTTTTTTCTTTTTCTTTCTAAAGTGCTGTTTGACAAGTTTGCCTGCTAATTGAATATTAAATGCTGTCTTAGCAGTAGTCATTTCATTCAACAAAATTATGTTGCTTGGTTGATTAGACATGGGATAGGGCAGGGCTCAGATCTGTTGTTCATAGGGATAGGGACGCTGCGAGTTTTAGTGGACTTGGCTGGTGCCTAACAGCAGTAGTACCATATGCTCTACTAAGAGCCAGGGTGTTAGGAATGGATGAGATTAAAGTTCTCTGCAGTGTTCTAATAGAGGAGACAATAAATTTGTAAGAAATGGCTAGCAAAAAACTCCACAAACCAGGTAGCATCAGGTAGTGTAAATTCTATGAAGAAAGCCAAAGCAACTGCTTTCTTTTCTCTCTTCCCCTGAAAGTATAACTATCCTGTCAAAACACTCAGGTAACTCTGAGCAGCCATCACGTTTCTTTATGCCTTTTTTTCCTTATCTGTAAAATATACTTATCCTGTGTACCTCCTAGGGTTATAGTAAATAAGAGAGATAATGCATGTAAAGTAGACCTTTTGTAAAATATAAGACTAATAAAGTATTATTTATATTTGCTTAAATGGAGCTGAAGGTTTGTGTATTTGATATTTGTCAGTCTTTCTGTGAGCATTGTTTGATGTATAGATTATAAACCGTTTAAAAGGGTGGCTTGTGTCTTTGGGGATTGTTTTAGCTTTTATATGTCTTAGATTTGTGAAAATTTCTAGTAAATCATTGCATAATATAATGGAATGAATAAAGAGAAGCGTAAGATGAACACTTAGTTGGAAAATACTTGGCATAAATTGTCCCAGCCTCAGTGGAATAAACATTTTCTTTTTGCCCAAGAGTGTGGTTATTGATAAAAAGGGAAAATTCTCTCATATGTTAAAAGTCCCCATCTCTGTGTTTACTGTTTCCACTAGTAACTTCTGTGTGGAACATTCCATTTATTCCATTTATTAAAAGAAACAGTACTTTTGTAAAACTTGGACATTTTACATCTAAAGCACTTTCTCTCTGATATTTTAATGAAGCAATTTATTTGCTTTCCACTAACTTGTACTGGACTTCTCGTTATTTCTGTACTAAAAGTAATGTTTGTTTTTTTCAAGGTTCGCCAGCCTGTCATATGCATCAACAGCCATGTATTCTGTTCAGTTTGTATCGATTTGTGGTTGAAGAATAACAGTCAGTGTCCAGCATGCAGAGTCCCGATCACTCCTGATAATCCTTGCAAAGAGATTATCGGTAAGGGCCCATCTTATATATACACACAGAAGTGGACTTGACATTATCTCCAAATTATGTATATTTTGAGAAAGTTGGAAATAGAGACTCTTCAGTGATTTGGCCAACATACTGGATGGATTAGTAATTTGAATCATGTATAGGTGGAGAAACTGGGGGACACTAACCATTAAGAGATCAACTCAGAGCCCCGTAGAGTTTACATTCTCGGAGAGGATGTGCCTGTGGGTCAAAATATTAAAAGTTTAAAGCAGTGGATCCTAAGGCCCAGTAAAACATTCAGGGAAGTTCACCTAGAGCACTACATGAGGTGGGCACCTGGCGAGAAAAACCTATCTGATGAAGATCAGGAAAGCCCTTTCATGCATAGGAAATGGCTTGAACTAAGACTAGGAAAACATGACACGTTTTGCAAATGGTTAATAATCTGACATGGATCTGACTACTGAAAAGGTAAATTTAGCCTTCAGTGTACTAATCCTGGAGTGACAGTCTAAATCAGGCACTTGCTTTTCAGATGTGAAGAAGGATAAGGTGAACATAATGGTTTTGAGCAAGGGAGAATAGACTTTTGGAGTCTCACTTGGTTAGCGATCTAGATTGTGCTGTAAGGGGAGAGAGAGGATGTGAGATAAACAATTATTTCAGCATGGAGTAAAGGTGGAAAAGAATCATCAGTGACACACAGCATAGATAAGAGGGGGAGTAAAACTTAAACTAGGGGATCTTTGGTAAAGAACACATTTAAAGAGCCTTTTAGTTTACACTTTTTCATTATGCTCATGTAAGTTAGGAAGCTCTCCTGGCATAGTCAGTAGGGAATTGCACTGTCAACCCAAAGGCTGCACCTATCTGCCACATCAAAGCCACAGGAGAATGAAGAGCAATCACCTCCTGTGCTATTTACAGCCTGGAAACCCTGCTACCTGCTCAGCTGTGAGTTATTTCTGACTCAACAGCAGTGAGTTGAGTTACTGTTCATACATGTTAGTTCTCCTAGATTATGACACTAAAATTATTTTTGTTTCTGTTTTAGGAGAAGTTGAAAGAATATCTCAAACCAATTGTGTGTAGAAAATACCTTTAAGAATATGTAATAGTCCTAAATTGTTATTTGAAACTGTCAAGTTGGAACCAGTTCATAGCTGACCCTCCAGTGCGTTTTCAGAGGCAGTAGATCTTTTTCCTGCAAAACAGCTGCTTTGGCATTGTCTGCCTTTGGATTGTCAGTGCAACTCCTCACCACTAGGCTACCAGGGTCATGTAGTCCCAAATTAAACCATTAAAATAGTCCGAAATAAAGAGAAATGGACATAAATATGAGTTTTACAGTGGAAATGAAAGAAAGTAGATATGTGCTAAAGGCAGGCGAAGAACTGGTTGGACTTTGACCTTTCTGTCTCCAGTTTTTTAACTATACTAAAATTTTATAAGGATGCAAGTCTTTTTAATAGAATGTGAGCTTTAATGACTCAGATAATTTAATTGTTTTCCCCAAAATTCTTCTCAAATCCCTTTTCATGCCTTCATTCATTCATATCTATGTAACATTTCAGAAATGCTATCAAATGAAATAGTTCATCATCTTTGCATTTGGATCGAAGGTCCTGAAGAACTGTGTATGGCTTTGCTTTCATGATGCCACAAGATACAAAGGAAAATAGGGCAACCACAGGATAAGTGAAGAGCTTCAAGGAAGTATTCATTTTGAGGGTATTTGTAATAAGTCTTTATGGGCATACCATTAACATGCACTTGTAATTCATTATAATTGGGCTGCTAGAATTAGTGAAAAGACCCACTAATCTTTACAGGTATATTTGAATACCTGCTTGGTCTTATTTTTTAACAATTGTCTAGTATCTGCCTTCATGGAATTTACTATAATAAAATACACATAGGTAAGTGAATATGTATATATTTTACTGAAGGTATTTCTTATGTTATTTGATTCTTATTTATAGGTGGAACAAGTGAAAGTGAGCCTATGCTGAGTCATACAGTTAGAAAACACCTTCGGAAAACTAGACTTGAATTACTCCACAAAGAATATGAGGTAAATGATAATTAATGTTTAAATTATATCAGCATTGAATTCAAGGGAAGAGTGAACCAACTCAGTCCTCAGACTTTTTAGAGTAAATATCTAATGAAATCTTATTTTTAAAAAATGCCATTTTAAAGTAACTTTTCCCCTTCTCCCATATAAAATAGTAGAATGAATTTCCTCCCCTTTCCTTTTGTCATTGCACAAGCCCTCATGACCGTAGAGTCAGAACCAGCTTACATGCTGAACCTCCAGGACGTTTTGGGTTTTCGGAAGGCTGTAAATCACACTGAAGGGGATTGTCCATCTTGCCCCTGAGGAGCCGCTGGTCACCGCCACCAGCACTCCCTTCAGTCTTACAAAAGGAGGGTGTAGGATTTGAGAGAAAAGGAATGGGTGGAAGCATTGTCTTTGATTTAAATTTGTTGTTATTGTTGCTATGTGCCGTCGAGTCATTTGCAACTCATAGCGACCCTGTGTACAACAGCCCTAAACCGTGCTTTATCCTGTGCCAATCTCATTGCCCCTGACAAACCCATCCCGAGTACCCCAGTCACTGAATCAGTCCACCTCATAGAGGGTCTTCCCCTCCTGCGCTGTCCCTCCACTCTACCCAGCATG